CATCCACATTATTGTGCAGCCATCATAACTATTCAGAATATTTTTATGTTTTCCAAAATAAAACTCTGTTCCAATTAAACTAATACTACCATTCCCACCTGATCCAGCCTGACACCCTTACTTCACTTTCTGTCTCTGTAAAATTTACCCCAGGTACCTCATAAACTAATTTATGATTAGTCTAATCATACAAATTAGTTATTTTGTATTTTGATTATTCCACTTCACATAATGTCTTTAAGGTTCATTTGAGTTGTATCATGTGTCAGTATTTAATTATTTTATTTATTAATTTATTTTTTATTGAATCACCATGAGAGCAGTTACAAAGCTTTTGGTTTAAGTCTTAGTCATATAATGATGAAATTCCCATCCCTTCACCAGTACACATTTTCCACCACCAAAAACCCCAAAATACCCCCCATCCCACCCCCTCCCCCTACCTGTGTGGCAGACAATTTTGACATTACTTTCTCTCTATTTTGATTACATTCAATATTTCAACACCAGACCCACCCTTATTATTTGGGATTTTACCCCAACACTCAAATCTGCCTAAAAGGCAACATTAGAAAATTTGTTTTCTATTGCTGATTATGAATTGCATATGATGTTGTGCGGCCACGTGATTTTGGAATTCTGAAGTTTTAATAATTAAAACTGGAGGGATTTCTGCCAAAAGCCGCTGGGTTCTGAGATTTGTTTCTGAGTCTCTGGGATTATGGCCATTACACAGCTCGATTGGTAGCCAGAGGGCTCGTTCGTGGGCGGTGACTTTGGGTCTTGTAGGGGCGGGGCTAATTATTTCTTAAGACTGAAATATATATGTACAAACACAACCACACTATGGAATGTTTATTTGTTCCTCCATCTATGCTCATTTGAATCTCCCCCACTTTTTGTTATTGTGAATATTGGTGACATGACTGTGAGTTGACAAATATCTATAAGAGATCCTGCAGTAAGCTAAGCTGGCTATAACCCCCAAATTTGGGGCTGGATAGATAGTACAGTGGGTAGGGTGTTTGCCTTGCACTTGGCTGACCCAGATTCAAATCCCAGCATTTCATATGATTCCCTAAGTACTGCCAGGACTAATTCTTGAGCACAGATCCAGGAGCAACTCATTAGCATCGTTGGGTGAGGTCCTACAATCAAAACAAAAATGGATAACTTCAAAGTTTAATTGCTTATTCTGTTATTTTTAAAATATGTCATTCTGGGGGGCTGGAGCAATAGCACAGCGGGTAGGGCGTTTGCCTTGCATGTGGCTGACCCGGGTTTGATTCCCAACATCCCATATGGTCCCTTGAGCACCGCCAGGAGTAATTCCTGAATGCAGAGCCAGGAGTAAACTTTGTGCATCGCCAGGTGTGACCCAAAAAGCAAAAAAAAAAAAATGACATTCTGTTTTCATAGGATATGCACTATTTTACATTCCTCAGCAATGTATGAGTTCCAATCTCTCCATATCCTGACACTTGTTAACTTGTATTTATTCTTTTAATAATAGCTCTCCTGATGAACGTGAAGTAGCATCTCATTGTGGTTTAGATTTACATTTCCCAGAGTAGTGATATTGAATATCTTCTCCTGTCATTTGTATCTTTATATAAATGTATATTCAAGACTTTTGTTCATTACTAAAATTGATTTGTTTGTTTTCATTGCTTTTGAGTTATAAGAGTACATATTATATTCTGTAAATTGATCCTCAAGGCGTTCGCCTTACAAGCGGCCAACATGGCCGACCCGAGTTCGATTCCTCCACCCCTCTCGGAGAGCCCGGCAAGCTACCGAGAGTATTCGATATGCCAGACACAGTAACAACAAAGTCTCCAATGGAGACGTTACTGGGCCCGCTCGAGCAAATCGACGATCAACGGGAGGGCCTTTACCTTTACCTTTACCTTTATCAAATATATGAGTCATAATTTTTTTCATTCTGTGGGTTGACTTCTAACTTTCCTGTCAATATCCTTTGAGGCACAAGTGTTTATAATTTTGAAAAATTAATGTATTTATTGTCTCTTTTTGTATTATATATCTTTGTCGTATGCAACAAATCACACCACTTTCTCATGGTTTCTGCATGTGTGGTTATGAAGAACTGATGTTAAAGTTAGAGGATCTTTGTTCTCTTTGTTCTTTAATATATAATATAACATTTTAACAATAATGGATCTTTTAAACTGTTTTTGGAAACTAAGGATATAGTTAATAAGAGAAAAAGTTTATTAAAATTCTATCCTAGTGTTACATTAAAAATCTAAGCTTAGGCAGGACTGTGGTGATAAAGGAACTCTCATCCACTTCTGGTGTGAATGTTGGGGATATAGCCAGCTTACCAGTATGGAGAGTCCTCAGTAAACTTAGAATTGAGCTGCCATATGACTCAGTAATTCCACTTTTGGGAACCTACCCCCAGGACCAAGAAATTCATTCAAGAGGACATATACACATCATTACTGATTGCTGCACTTAATGCAAGAACTAAGACATGGAATCATCCTAGGTGTCCAAGGGAGATTAATGGATTATGAAGGTGAATACCAAACACAATGGAATATATGCGGCAGCAAGGAATGATAAAATCATGCAATTTGCTGTAACCTGGTTGGAATTAAAGCTATCATATTGAGTGAAATCAAAAGAAGAAAGACAAGCACAGGATGATCTCATTTTTTCTGTAGTATATAAAATAACTGGATGAAGAAATGCAATGTAGTAAAGGGTAAATGCCCAGATTAACCCTGACCTCAGAGAAGAACAGCAGAAGAAATAAATCAAGGGGGAAGGAAGATGAGAAGGGAAAGCAAGCATGTACAGGAGTTGAGGCTTCAGTTATACTGGTAAAGAGGGAGAGTGTTGTCAGGTGCAACCACCAAACTTTGAAATGTGCGTGTTAACATGGCAGGCAGAGGTGGGAGGGAGCACGGGAACACTTCTGGTGGGACCTGGGTTGAAATATTGTATATCTAAAACTCAACTATTAATAACTTTGTAAATCATGGTTCTTTAAGTAAAATATTTTTAAAAATCTCAGCCTAGGGTTGGAAATGTGGTTCAATAGGTTGCACACATCTTGCATAAGAAAGTTTCTGGATTAGATATTGATACCGTAAGACCCCCTTTGAGCACCATCCGAAGTGATGTTTCAACATAAAATACATATATAGATAAAACAGAGAAGGACCAACACATTTAAGTTCCCTCTAGATTGTAAGATTACAGTGATTTCTGTTATATCCTAAGAATGCTTTAAATTTTCAATTAAAAATAAGCATATATTGCATTTATTTTGAGAAAACTACAAGGAAAGTTGCAACTTCAGAGGTAGAAAAAGTAAACTTGGAAGCAGAAGATTCATAACCATGCAACTATCAGACATGAGTCTAAAAATGAAATTTTGTAAGTACTGCAATGATAAACATTATACAGCATTAAATTATGTGCAAAGAAAAATCTACCTAGAAATGGGAAGAATCTGTGAAGAAATGTAATATGTATACAGTATTTATTCTGTGATGGCAACACAATATATATTGCTGTTTAAAGCTGGAAATAATAAAAATTTGTTCAATTAATAAATGTTCAGCACAGGGCATATGCAATATATAGTCACCCTTTATTCCAGAGGAAATTTTTTATGATTTACAGAGTATTTCCTTCTATGAATACTTTTTCATATATTCAACTATCTTTAATGCTGAGATTTTCAATACTTGAAAGCATCAAGCATACAAGACCTTTAAAAATAAATGTTTATTACACTTAAGCATTGTTAAAATCCCTAATGGCTTTAAAGCCAGTATCAGGAAAAAGGAGGGGTGAATCAGTGTTACGACCAATTTACTGTTAAGCCAGACAACTGGCTATTGTCTTGTGTTCTCTTGTTGGATACACTTTGATTCTTCGTTTCACTCTAACTCCCTTCTAACCTTCTCTTTTCAAACCCAGACCCCTACCTCAAGAGACGTCTTCAGAATTTTTCAGATTGAAAATTACTGCTATTTTACATACAATTTGCCGAAAATACAGAGAAACAGAATCTAGAATACTGAAATCGCTGGCAGTTACATCATCCAAAGACCAGCATTGCCTATTTTTTTTCCTTTTTAGTTTTTTTCCCTCTCCTTTTAAAACATCACGTCACCATTCACTTCTCCCCCTCTTCAGAACCCAGAGCTAAAATCAAAGGGATTTAAAAATCAATTTCGTATGAAAGGATGTCTTGTCCTCTCCCTTCGCCTGACATTTTACTTACTATTTTATTTGTTTTGAGATTATAAAGGTATAAACAAAAAGCTGAGAAATGATAAAGAATAAAATAGCGGTTTCTAGAAAATTCGGGGAGTGATGGAGGATGCGCAAGAAGTATATGACTCACCATATTAGAGAAACTAGGAGGGTGAACTGGGTGGGAAAGTTGCCAGACCCAAGAATTTAATTGGCTCAGGCCTTGTCAGTCACCACATCCCAGCAAATGAGAGAAGGGAAGGATGCCGCAAGCTCTTTGGACCAAGAAAATCTGACCTGCGACAGCTGCGTAATCACACTGCGGTACTTTTTTCTTGCCGCAGTTGAGGAGGCGGTCCACGCGCTGCGGCTCTCTTCAGCTTCTACCCATCTCCTGCAGATCAGACCACGGCAGCCATCATAGCGCTCTGCACCCAGACGCAGGCCACCGCTCCCTCGGTCCTCACCGCCCCTCGGCTTCGTCCGGGAAGTGGCTCTCAAATCTCCGACTGGCTCGTGCAGGACCGACCTCCGCAGACACCGCAGCGCTCTGCGCCGCAACGCAGGTCGCTGCCGCTGCCTCCGGTTTGCACAGCCTCGGCACCGCTTTCACCAGAGGAACCTGGACCATCTCTCCCTCAGCCCAGCCGCCACCGCCTGTTCCACATCTGCCTAGGCCCACGCCGCCGCTGATATTCTGGTGAGTGTTTTCCTACGGAAGTCGGGCCAGCAGATCTTGTCGGTAGCCACCTTAGGCGTGCACTGTCCTTTGAAAAATGGCCGAGTCAGCCGACCACAAGGAACTGTTAGAATTAAATCAGGACGAGGCTGGCAGTAACGCAATGATGGTGGAGACCGGGGAACGGCCCGAGTCCGGGGGACAGGCCGAGTCCGGGGGACAGCCTGAGTGCGGGGAACAACCCCAGTGCAGGGAACAACCTGAGTGCGGCGAAAATGTCGCCGCCGGGCCTGGAGATGATGGGGAGTGTGGCGCTGCAGCTGCTGCTGGCTCTGGGGAAGATGCGACAAAAAGTGAAGCTGCTGCTCAGAATCCAGACCCAGAGCGTCCGAAAGGACTCATAGGTCATTTCTTAGATACAGATTTCGTTGAAAGCCTGCCTATGAAAGTTAAGTGCCGTGTGTTTGCCCTCAAAAAGCTGCAAACTAGGGCGGCCAATCTAGAATCCAAATTCCTGAGAGAATTTCACGGTATTGAAAGAAAATTTGCTGAAATGTATCAACCCTTACTGGAAAAAAGGCGCCAGATCATTAACGCAATCTACGAGCCTACAAAAGAGGAATGTGAGTATAGATCAGACTCTGAGGACTATGATGATGAAGAGATGTATGATGAAGAAGAGGTGCATAGAAGTAAGGGTAGAATTCAGGAATACATGGATGACGATTATGGGTATGAGGAAGATTTTTATGATTATGCAATTGAGGAGGTGGAGGAGGATGATAGCGATGATGACAGTGATGATGACAGTGATGATGACAGTGATGATGATAGTGATGATGACAAGGAAGAGGATCCTAAAGGAATTCCTGATTTTTGGCTGACTGTCTTAAAAAACGTCGACACGCTCACACCTCTAATTAAGAAATACGACGAGCCGATTCTGAAGCTCCTGACAGATATTAGGGTGAGGTTTTCAGATGCCGACGAGCCTCTCAGTTTCACCTTGGAATTCCACTTCAAACCCAATGAATATTTCAAAAATGAGCTGCTCACCAAAACCTATGTGCTGAAGACAAAGCTTTCATATTATGATCCCCATCCCTTCAGGGGAACTGCGATTGAGTATTGCGTAGGCTGCGACATTGACTGGAATGAAGGGAAGAACGTCACTTTGAAAACCATCAGGAAGCAGCAGAAACATCGGATCTGGGGAACAACCCGAACTGTGACTGAAGATATCCCCAAAGAGTCATTCTTCAATTATTTTTCTCCTCGTGGGATCAGTTCAGATGACAGGGATGGAAATTGTGATTTTTTGCTTGGTCATAATTTTCGTACTTACATAATCCCAAGATCTGTATTGTTCTTTTCAGGTGATGTGCTTGAGTCTCAGCAGGAGGGTGTCATTAAGGAAGTTAATGATGCAATTTATGACAAAATTATTTATGATAATTGGATGGCTGCAATTGAGGAGGTTAAAGCCTGTTACAAAAATCTTGAGGCAATGGTCGAAGACCTTGATCGCTAAAGCAGAGTAACATGACTCTGCAATTTACTGCCATGGATCTAGTCACACAAGATAAAAAAAGTTATTTGCCACTTGTGTTTTGAATTTTTCTTGTAGTGTCAGTTAAAACGTTTCAAAAACTAAGAGAAGTTGAAATACTAATTCATTTTACCTTACATTTGTTAGTGAAATGCTTTCAAGACCTCAAGCTCTCTGTGCTTTTTTTCAGGTGATGTATTTAAGCCTCAGCAGGAGGAAGTCATTAAGGAAGTTAATGATGAAATTTATGACAAATTATTTATGATAATTTGATGACTGCAACTGAAGAGAATAAAGCCTCTTGCAAATATCTTAAGTCAATGGTAAAAGACATTGATGACTAAAGCAGAGTGTACATGACTCTGCAGTTTACTGCCATGGATCTAGTCACACAAGATAAAAGAAGTTATTTGCCACTTGTGTTCTGAATTTTTCTTGTAGTGTCAGTTTAAAACACGTTTGAAAAATTAAGAGAAGTTGAAATGCTAATTCATTTTACCTTACATTTGTTGGTGAAATGCTTTCAAGATCTCAAGCTCTCTGTGCTTTTTTTTCAGGTGATGTATTTAAGTCTCAGCAGGAGGAGGTCATTAAGGAAGTTAATGATGCAATTCATGACAAAATTATTTATGATAATTGGATGGCTGCAGCTGAGGAGGTTAAAGCCTGTTACAAAAATCTTGAGGCAATGGTCAAAGACCTTGATCTCTAAAGCAGAGTATCATGACTCTGCAATTTACTGCCATGGATCTAGTCACACAAGATAAAAGTTATTTGCCACTTGTGTTCTAAATTTTTCTCGTAGTGTCAGTAGTTAAAACGTTTCAAAAATTAAGAGGAGTTGAAATATTAATTCATTTTACCTTATATTTGTTGGTGAAATGCTTTCAAGATCTCAAGCTCTCTGTGCTTTTTTTCAGGTGATGTATTTAAGTCTCAGCAGGAGGAGGCCATTAAGGAAGTTAATGATGAATTTATGACAAATTATTTATGATAATTGGATGGCTGCAACTGAAGAGAGTAAAGCCTCTTGCAAATATCTTAAGTCAATGGTAGAAGACATTGATTATTAAAGCAGAGTGTATATGACTCTGCAATTTACTGCCGTAGATCTAGTTACACAAGAAATGTTATTAACCACTTGCGTTCTGAATTTTTCTTGTAATGTCAGTTTAAAACATGTTTCAAAAATTAAAGAGAAGTTGAAATGCTAATTCATTTTTGAAATTTGTTAGTAAAATGCTTTCAAGAAATGTAGACTGTGGTAAATGATTTAAAATATATTAATATAGTGTGTAATTTAATCCTTCTGTTGCCCTTTGTCATGTGGTAATTTATCTGTGAATATTACCAGAACTGCCAAATTAGATAAACATGTGTTTGTAAAGTAAATCTTGGAGAATCGCTCCAAGGTATTTTGATGCTCTTCTTGTTTATTTGCTGTTTGTGTTTTCTTAGTCCTGTAGGTAGCGGGTTTGATATTTTTGTGCTTGCTTCATTTTACTATATAAATGCAGTGCAATTTACAACGTGAATGCTTAAGAAGCCTGCATATAGTTAAGAATTTCAGGCAAAGACATATTTGTTGTTAATACTAATAGCTTGTCTTGTAGGCTTTTGCATTTTATGTAACAAAAATAAAATGAAACGTAGTCATATTAAAGCTAAATGTTTATCAGAGAAGTGTTAATCACAGTATTTTGAAGAGTGCCATGTCTTGTTCTCTGTAATTGTGTAAGCTGTAATTAAAGTGTTTAATTTATCTTTTCCTATAGTAAAAGTAAATATATCATTCATCTAAAGTGACCACTTTACATTTTGAAAGTAGCTTTCATGTACTTCCACTGCAAAATAAAATTAACAAAAACTTCACAGTGTTTCATGTTTTTGAACTGATTTTTTCTAATTATAGTAGTAAAAAATAAAAAACCTTAGGAAAATACATTAATTAGTAATCTAGTAAGGAAAGGATGCCTAGATCATCATTGACCCCCCGGAGCTTAGGGAAGAGAAGGACAGGGGAAGAATAACATCAAGGGAGAAAGAAAGAAGATGAGAAAGATAAGTACTGGGGAACAGGGTTTGGAGCAGGGTGGGGCCTCAGTTATACTGATGATGTGGGAGACTGGTCTAGTTATATACCCAAATTACAAACTCGACACTGAAAACATGAGATCTAAGCTGCAACCACTGAACTTGCAGTGTGCCTGTCAAGGTGGTAAACTGGGTTGGGAGTAGGGGGTTGGGGGAGTAGGAGTGGAGGGAGGGAGGATGGAGTATGGGAACACTGGTGTAGGGAAGTTGACACTGGTGGTGGGATTGGTGTTGAAATATTATATACCTAAAATTCACTTATCAATAACTTTAAAAAATTTTAAAATGGAAAATACCTTAATTAAAACCAAAAATAAAAATTAACTGCCCAATGATAAGTGGTATTAATGTCTTTGTGCATGTAAATTTAATAACTATATTTACATGTACAAAAGGCTAATGTTTATTGTTTGTACCTCGTCTAATCTTAATACTGTGTCTATTTTCACCACTACTCGCAGGATTGAAAAGGAAACAAAAATCCCAGTTTTAATCACTAGAGTAAATTTTTATTGCTTTTTAGTAATCTTAAAACTTCATATAAAAACAAGGTTTTTGTGTTAATATGTATTTCAGATTTACCTACATTTTCATATCATCTAGGTATATACGGGCTTATATTGATTCATGGTGTGGGAATGTTCACTGGAGACAATAGGATGCAGTTGGTCAGAGAATAGATGATACCAGCTGACTTTGCCTGTCTCAAATTTGGAAACCCAGAAGTTTGGCTTCCCCCATGGGAAGAGTCAGTAAAAGTCACATCACACCCACACTCCCCACCACCCCATAAGGATTCCCCCACTCCATGCCACTTGAGATTTAAGAATGGCTAGAAAGTGCTGTTTTTTGTTGCCTGGTCACTTTTTCATACCAAGGGATTTAAAACCCTATACTGTATTTCCAGTCTGATAACTTTTATAGAGGAACTGAAATCAAGAATTATTTCCAGGTGCTGAAACAATAGCACAGTGGATAGGGCATTTGCCTTGCACCTCCAAGGGTAATTCCTGAGTGCAGAGCCAGGAGTAAACCCTGTGCATTGCCAAGTGTGACCAAAAAAGAAAAAATAAGAAAATAAGAAAAAAACTTTAAAAAAGACTATATATATATATATATATGCGCCAGGGCGATAGCTTAGCGGGTAGGGTCTTTGCCTTGCACGCAGCCAACCCAGGTTCTATTCCTCTGCTCCACTCTGAGAGTCCGTTAAGCTACCGAGAGTATTTTGCCCACACGGCAAAGCCTGGCAAGCTCCCTGTGGAGTATTCGATATGCCAAACACAGTAACAAGTCTCACAATGGAGACGTTACTGGTGCCCGCTCGAGCAAATTGATGAACAACGGGAGGACAGTGATACAGTGCTACATATATATATACATATATATATATATATATATATATATAATGCGTACCTATTCACATTTTCACTACCATCAGTTTTGACCTCTTTGAAATTCCCCACAGCCAGAGAGGGAGTGCTACTTATCAGAATCACTGTTACCATGCTGCATTGAAAGTCAGCTGGGTGCATCTCTTCTCATATTTCACAGAAGAGCATCAGATATCATGAAGTCCCTCCTGTACCTTTTTCTTGCCTCTGTAAGACAGTTTTTCATAAAGGTTAAGTGAGTCCCTCTGCTGTATCTCTCATGTCAGTAAACTTCAGCCAAAAACCACAGTGAAACAAAACAAGGGACTAAACAGTGCATTATAAAAACAAATACAAAACCTCCTGACAAGAAAATTGATGTTACCAAAAGGGGAGGAGAAAATTTAAGGAAAGGATCTTAAGGACTGTAGTGGCTAATGGTTAACGGTTCTTTCAAAGTACACTCATTAGCCTTGTCCCTGTGTGCACATATTTTATTTGTTCACTGGTCAATGAAATGATCATTAAATTAAAAAATATAAAAACCAGAAAAATTTTAAAAAGTCATATGAAATCATATCATCATTCGTAGGAATATAACATAACTGATTTTCAGTTATCATACAGCTATGTGAATATGGAGATTATTGGATTATATAATATTTTTAAGTACATAAAGAACCTTTACATAAAATCCTTTATGAAATGTATTTTCTTGGAATTATTTTCCAAATAATATTTTTGTGGGATTTTTTGGAAAAGGGTTAAAAGTAAAGGAATTTGAAAATGAATTTTGCCTATGTTAATACTATACCAATGATCTATTTGTTAATATGCTCTCATGGTGTTTTAAAACTAAAATTTCTCATCTTGCAAATACCAGGTAACCAATTTCACTTCTTCCAGCATCAGCACACACCTCCCCACTCCTACTGGGAAGGGATGGGAAGGCAGGAAAGGGAGGCGAAATGAGAAAGGAAGGTGAAACGTGATTGGGAGTGAGCAAGAGGTGGTCATAAAGGAACCCCCAGTCTTTGCAAAATTTATCAATCAGGACACATTCTGAGCGTAATCGAAGATTGGGCGTGCGATTAGGTAGAATTGTCAAAGTCTCCTGTTGCTCTTGCTTTTTGTGCAAAAGCATCCGCATGCTTACACCTGCTTAAAAGAAAGGAATGGATCATGCTTATGGCTAAGCTTTAAGAAACCATAATCTATATTCAGAGCTGCCCGAAGACCGGTGGTTAAGGCGTTCCTGAGAGGCTTTGCAGGAGGCTACAAATGGGGACGCTTTTGTCCTTATAGAAGTCGTTATCCCTTTGTTTCCCAGTGTAATCAAAAGTAGCCTGTAGGAAAGATCAGTGACCGCATAGAAGACTGGTCCTGGTTGCTTAGTGATGGGTCTGACAGACACTTAAGTGGAAAAAAAAATTACTTAAGTGTTCAGCGAAAGAAGTCCTGGAAATAATGGGAGCTTTTGGATGAGGTCAGCCTGGAGGTGGTTAAAGTCATAAATAATTGACAGAAATAAATCTGCCTTTCGTTTGTGAATTATACTTGCACGTTGGCCCAGAGAGGTGTATATAAATTATGGTATGTATAAATAAGGGTGCTTATGTGTATGCATGAAGTAATGTATATAAAAGGAATATTGCTAGCTTTGACATAATACAAGTGTATGTGTATTAATATGTATTAAGTAATGTATTAACATTACTTGAGCCCAACTAGTCGCTACCTCTCCCCAACAGGTACCAGCCAGGCGCCCCCTCCCCACCCAAATTCGGGACCCCGAAAGCCAGCTGCTCTGGGACACCGCCTGGGGCACCTGCCTCCACTTCTGCAGGGAGCACCAGGCTACCTAGTAACCGCCCCTCCCCAACAGGTCTGTGGACTAGCATCTGGACTGGCTGGGGACATGACCTCCTCAAAAGTGGGCGTGGCCTCCTCAAAGTGGGCATGGCCTACTCAAAAGTGGGCGTGGCATTCTCTGGGGTGTCCGCAGTTATATTTCCTACTCCCCTCACTCTTGACTTTCATCCCAGCCTTCTTCACCTAATTCTGTGGAAAAATTCCTGGCCACCTCAACTAAAATACAACAATCCACTGGCCTACTCCAATTCTAACGAAAGACCAGTACACAAGAAGCTGTACAAGTCCAATATCAAAGAGCACCTCCTCCAAAGCTTCACTAGATGCCCGTCATAAGAAAAAGAATAGTGCCTGAGAGGAAGGTCAAACCCTAGAAAGACAGAAGGTTGACCACCATCCACCGACCTTATCCAGAATCCTTTCCCACAATAGAGGGAACAGTGCTAGTGAATTTCAGGGTTTTACCACTACATAAACAAAACAACATGACGAAACAGTGCAAATCTCCACTACAAGGAGAGGACAAAGAAAAGAGTCCAGAATCCGCTACCAGGATTATCCACAAATACACTCTCTCCAATAAAGAATCCTGAGACGAAATGCAGAGGATGGTCAAGGAACTACTCAAAGAATCAATGGAGGAGATATCCAGAAAACTAAAGGAAGAAATGAAAGGAACAGTAGAGCGGAGGGTAGAGAAAATACAGGAAGAAATGAGAGCAGAAATAAAAAAGCTACAAAAAAGTGTCAGAAATAAAGGATTCGGTAGATGAAATTAAAAACTCAGTAAGTGCCCTCAGCAGTAGGATGAATACAGTTGAAGACAGGATCAGTGAGCTTGAAGAAGAGCAAAAGAAATCGCATAGGGAAAAACAAGCAATGGGTAAATACATCAAAATAGCTCTAAGGAGAATTAGAGACCTAGGGGATGTTGCCAAGAGGAACAACATTAGAATCATCAGAGTACCAGAAGGATAGGAAGGCAACCCCAATGAAAAAGCCACAGTCAAAGAAATCATTGCTGAAAAGTTCCCAGAGTTAAAGAATGCAGACATACAGATCCAAGGAGCCAGAAGGGTGCCAGCTAAAAGAGAACTGAATAAAATCACTCCAATTCATATCAGAGTCAGAATGATAGATGTTGCGGATAGAGACACTATACTGCAAAAAGCAAGGTCAAAGAAGGAAATAACATACAAAGGAGCACCCCTTAGATTTACAGCAGACCTATCAGAGGAAACCCTCCAAGCACAAAGACAATGGCGGGATATAGTGAAAAAACTTGTTGGAGTACAAGGATCTTAGGTTCATCAGGTTGCACCCATCATAGTGCTCCCGAGTCATTCCCATTACTTTGTTTGTCTGTAACTACTTCTATGCTTTCTTCCCCAACCAATTTGTAAGGTCTCATCCTTCTAGGACACTGAACTTGCACTGTAAGTTAATATTCCCTTTCTCCTCTCCTATGTCTTTTGAATAGTTTAATGCAATGTCCTTTTTGTATAGATACAGGAAGACAATTAATATTATGCT